CAATCAGCAGTTGAAAATTACAGTTGAAATCTTTAGATCTTTGGGTAGCTTGATATTTCGACTTGGGTCTTTTATAATATGACTTTTTTAAGGTCTCCGAGATACTGATGCATCTGTCTACACATATACCGCGTAGTCTTCACTTTTGGACATCAGAGTGTTTTTCTTTTCGAGATCAGCTTCTGTCGAAGAAACAATAGGACGATACTTTGTCGTTTTTGATGGATTTACAACACGTATTAAAACCAAATATCCAGAGTCGTAATGATGTCGTCATCATCACGGTTCGTTGCACCTCAAGAGACCAGGGGCGAGCATCTCTTTTCGCGAGAACCAATCCGATTTCAATGCTTGGCCTGGAAAACATGTCGCGTTACATATTGCGTGGTTTCACCAAAGAGATTTCCTATGTTAAACAACCTGAACTTAACATTTTTCCGACAAATTCAATGTGCACGACAAATCCTATTTTACAATCACATAGGCTGATTCGTCATGATGGTCAGGTTTGGAATGTTCTTGAAGGAGCCAGGGTCACTCGGATACCAGTGCTAATATGACTGAGGTTCTTTAGATCCAACTGGTTCACAAAGATGAAGTAAAAAGTAAAAGTAAAAACAATCTGATCAGTTGCTCGGCAATCAAGTAGATAGGACATTTGTGGTCCGCCTATGTAAACCTTCTAATTTGCGAACTCCAGCCTTATCAATGAATTCGCGCTATTGATGACATATGACAGGATTCAACCAGGTATATGGCAATTCGAAACCTTCAAATGTATATTTGTATTTATTTGCATAGAATGAAAATGTTTGATCAATAATTTATCAAAGGAATTAGATGTATTGGGTGGTAAAATTTTCAACCTGATCTCCTTTATCAATGGAAACTTTGAAGGAACACGCACCATGTCGTTAGGTTATAGTTTAGCAGAAAATCACTTTCAAAACCAATGAGTTGATTAACATGTCTATTGATTGAGTTCTTCGCCATACTTATTTGTCTTTAAAAGTCTGACTATTAAAATGAACCATTCTCATAGATGTTATGGAATATCACAGAGATTTAAACTGTACTTATCTGAAAACCATTAGCTTTACATACACAGACAAATCCCTGGGATTACATAAATTTGCTCAATAAAGGGATAGGATCAGTTCTCATAAATAGGAGGTTTCTTCCAGACTACGCTCATTTTTATCAAGTGTACATTCATATAACTTGTTGGTGATTTTCATATCTTATTAAGCTCACGGAAATCCCTGTTCCGTCGCAATGTATTATCTGATTCGAAGAACATGATCGTATTCGTACATGCGCGATCTATCGATCAATCGGTCAATCTCACATTGCAATCCAATTCCTGAACTGTTATGAGGAATCATATTTTACGATTGTTCTCCGGATGGTGAAAATCGAAACCGACGGATTGTACTTTGACCGTCGCAAAACAAACAGTCAGGGCTATTTTATCCCCATTTTAGTAATGGGACTGTTCGTTGTGTCTGCCTGTCTGCAAGCTCGTTAATGTTTCACCATTCACCCTAATCAGTCCAGCATTTGACGCAGCAGAATTCCCTTCATCCCCTCATTCCGTTACAGTTGGAGCACATGTCATCAGATCCGGTATATGCAACTGCAATCCCTAACTCCGGTTGTATATAACCTCATTTCTATGCAATACAAGCGAATGTTTTAGTTTTGTTCGCAGCCGGTAAATTACCATGTTCATGATTCTGCCGTTTTGTATTTCAGATACGTAACAATTAAGATTTCATTATTGCACTCGCTGTCTATCTTCACACCACTCAGTTTATTGGCACCGACGAAATTACAACTGGAATCGATAATCATTTTCGTTACTGATCAGTCCTTAATTCAATCAACGACAAATGTTTGCACTTTCATAATTTCATCCGTCAAAAGTCTATGGACGATTTAACTGGAGAGCTCGCTGGAGCGAAGTGGATGAAGGTTACCCCCAAGCCAAAAAGTATTCACAAAAGTATGATACATGATTGGCAATGAATCACGCTCATGATTAGTAACAAAGGAAAAGTCANCAAGCTTGTTTGTCTACTCCTTTCTTCTAACACCATTAAATGGTCATAATTGAGTAGTCAGTTCAGTTTTGGCGATGGTAGTCGTCCAACTGTATATTGAGACCCTTATTTTATACGATTCAGTAAAATGAGAAGTGCACCACGATTCAATGAAAACAGTTGGTGCTGTGGCATGTCCTCACCGCTGTTCTCTTTTCAAGAGAACACTATCCACATTTATTTGAATTGATTGAACAAAAAGGACGCCACTTTTTTAATCTGTCTCCTGCCCATGCAATTCCCTGTTACTTCTCCTGTATCCTACCAATTTTATATCAAGTTCGTATTGGTATGGCTCGTGTGGGGCTTGTTGTCGCGTCTCACCAAGGTAATGTTTACTTCGATCGGGATAAATTTATCTGATCTGATCAACAAGGTTGTTGGATTATTTTCTTGACTGTAAATTTATGTTCCATGATTTGGGTGGTCTGTGTTATTTCAAAGCTGATGGGCGTGCGTGAGCGTGTAGGTGGGTGGTTGAATGAATGTGTTAGTGCGCTCTCGTGCGTCATGATCATTGTCGAATTCTATTGGTGTGTGTGTGTACTCACAATAACTGCTCTCTCGGTTTGAGCTAAAGACAGCAACCACACTGGTCAATCCACGTTGTGCATGTACGGGCTTGCCCGCTGACCGGTTATTTCCTGTTCTGTTCCATTCCGTCTAGTCTCCCATATCCTTCCTATTTGCCCCTGGGTTTCACTGATTTGCATTAAACTTTAGTGGTTACGCGTTCATTCGTTGTGTTTTCTAATCCCGGGCATTTTCTGAATGTAACATGCCCAAATGTTGCATTTCCGCTTGCATCTTTGGGTACAGCGGAGACATTTCGAAACACGAAACGCACCTGTGCCCGGGGTTATTTTTTCTTCTCAATTGGGAACGTAGAAACGAGGAAGTGCATTGCGTTCTCGCTCCAAATATGTCTATTTATTTTGTCGGTTAGTCTTGCGATGGGCTTACAGTTCGTGAGGCAGTCAATCCGGGGAACTGAGACAATATGTTGTTTTTGGGAGGGGAGGTGAACACAAGAGATGACAGGAACGATTTCTTGTGCCGTGTATCGCGCCCATACAAATCGTTTTCAGTGGGAACAATTTCGGAAACGTTGGGGAGAAAAACAAGTAATCGACCACTGTCGTTTCAGAGTCTGTGTCTTCGCATCGGCTGACACAGCTTCGATTTTTGCACTGTCATAGTGACATACTACAAAATACACGAACATGCAGTGTTTTTCCATGTTGCGCAACCTTTCAACTAATTTCATCTGTCGAAAACCAGGGTGATGACATGCACCCATTTCATTCCCAGTTGAGCATTACTAATACAGTGAGGTGTGGGAATGAACCACGTTATAGTTGATTAAGTGACAGGTTTCCTTTTTCACATCCTGTCGATGAGAACCAATCAGTAATCGCCTTCTATACGAGTTTGAGCCGTATGATTAAAGATTTTATGTATCAAAACTGCACCCGCCATAATAAGAAAAAGTTATTTATTTACATTGTTTCTATTGTAGCAATTCTTATTGACCTTCGAACCCTTAGCACAAAAACTTATCTGTATGCTGCTCGATCTTCAGAGTTTTCTCTCTCCGAGCATCACTTCACAATTTTTGGGCTAAAATCTCGCAGTACCCAACATTAAACAGTAGCATGATCGTCTGTATTCTTTTTTCCACTAGAATAATTTAATATGAGCATCGTTTTACTGATGTGCTTTAAATTAGCGCACTAAATTGTAATCATAACCCGAGGCTTACTTTTCATACATATGCTTCTAATCTAAAAGGCGGTTTTAGTTTTATAACTTGTCGGACACCAACATAATGATTCTAAAAACGCAGTTCTGACAAACTTAACGGGTACTAAATACATCCATCTTTATTATTGGTTATCACTCGAAACTACTGCTGTCGAAATTATCCAGACCCGAGACATTCGCCTCTTCTCTTAAACGACTCAGGAATGGCTCTCTTGAGATCACGAGAAAGTTCACTTCCAAGTGCTTTTCTTCCCACAATGCGACCTCGAATACTGGTCTTGTGTGCATTCTCTGCCTTTTCAAAGGAAACCTCATTCCGAGAGGTTGGTTAGTAGAAGGTTTGACCATATACCATGTGATCACATTGACGCTTCTCTTTCTGAACTCAAGAAGAAATTGCATATTTTTCGCGCACACTCAAGGGAACTTACGTGTGTATTAGGTTCTCAAAGTTCAGCGCTCACTCGGCAATCAGTGTTTTTAATCAACTGTAAAGAATCGCATGCGCAACTTCAACTCTAATAATGTAACATTCTTTTTGGAGTAGTATTTTGGTGCTTGCTCCAGGCTACCAACTACTGAATCAAATGACTCATTTTATTTAACAATGAATTGAATTGCGGATAACGATAATGAAATTGGAGATTGGCTTTGACTGAAAGAAACAAAAAGCAGCGTGGTGATTTTTGCTTGAAACTAATCAAACCTGATGTTCATGTTGTCCAACGCAAACACAAAACAGATAAATGAATGTGGTAAAATGAAATGCCATAATGTTTTGGTGACACCATGTACTTCTATATAATCAAATCTATTCAATACGCTTCTTTAACCCTTTATTTCCCATCTTTTTACCTGTCAACCACGCTTCAGAGAGCAAACATTGCTCTCATAAACTGCAAACTGATTCAAATAAAATCACATGGAATAGCATACGCATTTCTCCCAAAAATGTGAGGTCAGTTAGTTAGTTCCTTACATCACGTAAAACCACACTGCTTTCAAAATAAATTTACAGATAATCTAACGACTATTGTCATCCCATCCATTCCCGTTGTTCAACTCTTCAACAACACAAAAAGCATTCTGACTTATTGAATACAAAAACAACTTCATTTTATCCCGTTTTGCGAAATGTTTTGGTCCAGGCGATTCCTCAAATATCGAACTGGTATGTCTCCAGCGGACGGCGGTTCCACAATTAGTCCTTCGCCAACATCTCAACCAGCGTTCGATATTCAGGTCTCTCATTCAATACACAAGTTGACAAAAGATCCGAGCATAGATCAAAGTGATACGGTTGATCCTATGCAACTGTCCACTCTATGCTCCGTGGCCTCCCAGTCCGTGATGATCAGTCCTACCGAGATGTCCGTCTCTTCCCACACACCCCGTTGGACCGGATACGACGGTCCGGTGTTCGGTCAATCACTTGCAAGCTGGCAAAGACGCCTGGGTTATCCTCTCCCATCGGCTATTGTGCATATGATGGATCATCTAGAACGGATTGGAGCCACCGCTCACGGAATATTCCGACGTCCGGGTGGGAAAGTTCGAACTCAAGCACTGCGTGAACAAATCGAACGTGATTTGAGTAAGTGATTGCTTTGCGGAGCGGTCGTAATATAAAAAAACAGCTTTGTAAACAATTAATCGGACTTGTTTTGTCAAATCGCCCCACGCGACTCGCTACTGGATCACATTCGAAGATAAACTAAATAGCTCTTGGCAAGTTAGCTTTCTTGATAACAATTATCTACGAAACTTAATCCAGCTGTCGTCGCATATTCACTCGTAAACAATATCATGAAACCGTGCATATCGTAGGATTACTGTCCTTCGAAATATCCGTTATTCCTCTTTTTATATGTGATAGGAAATCCGATGATGAATGATCCCAGACATTTGCAACGAGCCCCTCGGTTTCTCTGGGATTCGCCACATTAGTACCAAGTTGCGAATGGATCATGATGAAACTGCGGTTGCATATTTTTACGCACACACCCGCGCCTGCTTCTCAGTTCTGTTCCGCTCAACACCAGCGCATTCGTATTCAGCTTTGATGTTCCTAATGCCTTTTTTGTCCCATGTCAGCGAGAAAATGATCGCGTGCACTGCACATTCTTGTCCGCGAAAAGTAGCTGGATTTTACTTTTTCAACTTTACAAGGAACACCGTATTCGCCCGAAGGATTATGTGAATTGAAAAAATTGTATTTAGCACATTCTCCTCTGGCTACGATCAAATCCGTTGTTAGGTGGTGGGTTCTCACACCAAACGTTATGCTTTAAGGCCGTTAGCCGGAGAACGAGAGAGAGAGAGAATGCCACAAGTGGTTTTTTGCACACTCCCAAAGTACATAGGAAGTATGCGATTCATTGTCAGAAGTTCGCTAACGTTCTTCATTTTCTTAAGGTATGACAATAATCTATGCACAAAGTTGTAATAAAACAAAAGGAAGATAGCACAGCCAATTCAAAACCAATTTTGTAAGCTGGATATTACTGAGACTAACCAATTCAAAAAAAATCTCTAGGTAACAGATACTATTTAACGAGTACAGGAGTTTTGCCAGATTGTTAAAATTCTAACTGCTAGAAATAAGTATAGTGATGAAAACTTTTTCCTTCTTTTCCCTTTTTTGTTTTTTGCCAGCTTGGAAAAATTTCGACGATTGGCAACCATATGATGTGGCCGATCTACTGAAGCAGTTCTTCCGAGAACTACCCGAATGTCTGCTCACAAGCAAATTGTCCACGGTTCTTGTGAATGTGTACAGCTGTGAGTTTCGCAAAGAAAGCCGCGAGGTTGCGTTCATATGCTGTCAGCTGTTTTGCTACATCTCTAGAGGTCTTGCATACAAGGATCTTGGACTGCGGAGTCAAAACTCAGATGATTTTATACAGAAAATCAAAGAAGGAGAAGAAGATAGCTAACAGAACCTAAATGTCAGTGACTTACAGTAGCGCAAAAAGACCCAAAAGAACGGTTTTCACGGCTCTAATTACTCCCTTTGCACTTAGTCACTTCGGTTCAGAAAATCAGATGAATAAATTTTCACCTTGGATGATTTCATGGCTCATCACGGTAAACCACACTATGGTTCGAACCTATATATAGCTCCGGAATAATTCAAATCATACCAAATTCACACCTGACCGCAAATCGGGAAAAGTTTAACTCTGGTTTCTTCCTCCCCTAATTTCTCTGCCAATCTAATCCCAGAAAACACAGAACGATGTTGATGTTATTCGAACGGAAATATTTGGTATACCCAGCTTACAAATTTTCCCACAGCAGTCATATGATAGTCTCGGACCACCAGGCACACCTGTGGATCACAGATACTCAAACGAAGGGTGAAACTGACATTTTTGGAATCCACCCTAGATTTTCAGCGTCCTTTGAGTGTGAACGGTAACTGAGAAAGCCGACAAATACTAGGTGGCTTATACCGAGTCACAGTTTGCGTGTGACATGCTCACTTGATTACGATCCGATATCGGTTTGATGGGAATTGGACAAAACATGTGATTGAACGAAGAACTGGGAAAGCGTATCACCGAGGAATCAATAAGTGTGACAGAGTTCTGAGCCAGACAGTTCGATGTGTGCTCTTCAGTCAGTGTGTGAAGGCTGTTTGTATTTGGCTGTGTGAATAACTATTTCAGTCATGCGTTTGAACGACCTTGTATTACAATGAGCATAGTAGTTTCCGGAGAGTTCAGCTTCTCACGTTGCCCTTAGATTCAGGAACCGCTCTGAATGCAATCCTTTACCCACTCCTCGGGTTAAGACTTAGTTAGATTTAACTAATTCTCTTTAGAAAAAAGTTTAAATATTATTTCATAGTATGAGTTCTTTCCTATGCAGAGCAAGCAAGCCCGAACTTGAACGTATAACTGTTTCTAACTTGTGTAGTCCCATGAGCATTGCTGATCTACCGAACCAATAATTGGACTCGAGACCTCACAAGTAGAACTTTGGCATATTGTCCACTTAACTTATGCTATGTCGTGTACAAACAGAGTGAAGCGATTCGAACAGCCGTCTGCTATTCAATTCAATAGTACTTTTTTTCTACTCGTGATAACCTTCCGGGTTGATTCTCACAACCGATGATACCCAACAAAGATGAAATACCTTTACAGTGCTTTCCAAATTTCTCGTTCATTTTTCCTTGACTCTTTTTGAAATTACTTCCATTACATAGTATAAATCCGCGGGTATTCTGAAATGGGCCGTGGCTTTTTTGTTGTGTTCCACTCCATTACTATGGAAAATGCTCTACTTCTGTTTATAACATGTGTATAAAATCAAAGGTAAACGATTTATTATTGTTGCATAAATGTAAAGCGGGCTACCACAGGTCAATGCGGGTAACTTTGGTGGTTACCACGTGGGATTCCTTTTTCCTAGTCTGACCTTAATACATCAGTAACTACCCCAATCCAATTGAAATAGCTTTATACAGTCTTGATTTTAATTATCACGATAACTCTGCATGATACTCTTGCAATATGAGAAGTCCTCAGATAAGCGTTTGTTCTTCTCGGTTTCTGAATCTATCTATCGTTATGAACGGCTTTCAAGAAGGTCACAAAAAAAATAGTCGCACAAATGTGCCACATGACGTAAATTATAATTACCCTATCAGACATAGGGATCACAGATAGAGTTATTCATTTTTTATCGCCCTTGTTGAAGTTTTTTTTCAATAGGAATATGACTGCAGAGTCAGTGAAGTTCAGGCTGGAACGTCACCATCCACACTGACTGCCGTATCAATAAACGTATTGGAGCGTAACTTTGGGATCAGTTTGATAGGCAATTAGCATGCAGTTTACATCAGACGTCGTCTTAATCTCTAGTAAGCTTCTTTCCGGTACATCGAATACTCGGTCATGGCCGATAGGTGTTCCTGCACACAACAGTTCTGCAATTGCCTGCGATAACTAAATGGTGTGGTTTACCTTTGAACTGGCCGTCACTCTCATCCACCCGTATGCCAAACAAACGTAAAATGTTCCTGATATTCGTTCATTCCTGCGGCGTCAGTCGATACACAACAGGAGGAAGCATGTACCACGCACTTATTCCTTGAGTGATCAAATTTCGCTCATGTATTTTTCAATCTTTGAACAAAACGATAGGCATGCACAGATTTTCAACATCACTGGCAATTAAATTGAATTTCCACTCAGCAGAATGATTTGTTGCGGCCACAGCAAAGGTGAAAAAAGCTTGTGATTAGGATATCGGTAGAGATAATGACCTCCCCTTGCTTTATGGCTGAAAAAGGGAAATTGCATGGAACGGACGAGCGATAACCAGAAAAGCCTGTCAAGATTTGACTGTACTTCAAGTGCATAATCTACAGTAAAGGAAGAGGGAAATACATAACTTTTATCCGTTTGAACTGGTCTTTGCGAAAAGGTGGTAGAGGATTTTATTATCATTTGATGCATTATCTTAGCCAGGTACGAGGACCCGAAAATAATCTGGATTTCGAATCGGTCCGACACATTGCAGCTCAGATTGAATACTGGTGTTTTTGAACCATCCTCAAACAGATTTGACAGTGCTGGGACCCCAACATGAAGATTGATTGTGTTTTACCTATGAAACGATTTCCTATGCTTCACATTAAAAAATTCTGGTTTGCCTAACTGTTGGATTAGAAACATTCTGCTGTGTTACCACTGCTGGATAGAGTTGAACTAAAACTATTGATAAATACGTCTTTAATATACATTCATTTTTGTGGTTTTTTTAAACATGATTATTGAATAATTTTTTTCTTGAGTGATTGTTCTTTTAACTGCCTTACTACAATTCTTCAATCATTGTCAAAGTTCCGAATGTAACTCACTAGTCAGTTAAGGCAATTTAGGATATCCTTCTTGATCAGTCTTGTTATTAACATCACTTACTTCAGGTGTCAAAACAAATCCAATGATATATGAATGTGTAGCCGCAAATTTTGCTTGTCATAAATACTATGGATTTCAATTTTCAACTGTTTCAGGCATTCCCACATCTACCCAACTCGATCTATTGCGTTGGGTGCTAATCGGCCTACCGGATGAAAACCGAGTTGTGCTTCAGAAACTACTCTATCTGCTGCATAGTCTTGTTCGATATGCCCACGTGACTCAAGTTAGTGAAAGTCTCCGTTTCACTCAAATCATTGAATGCTTTTCACCGAAGATTTTGGTGTCGTTCAGTTTTGGCTGGCTTTCGGACAAAACAATTTGTGATAGCTTGATTAAGATGCACTGAAAACGAGCTTGTTTGCCAATTTTGTGTTCCCGTCGTGTGTTCTGCGGGACTGGTTGAACATTTTAAACAAATGTTGTGAATCATTTGTGTTACTTATAAGTAGCACATCTCTGGACGATTATTTCTTTCCGTGGTAATTGGAATGACCATTCATCTTTTCGGTCCAATTTACTCGGCGTTCAAGGTATGAAATTATCATCATTTTCAAACATAAATTGACAGTTATACCCTGAAAATAAGTATAGTATCATTTATCATCGCAAATGCTATTGACGGTTGATGCTATCGATAGGTTGTACGTGATTGGCGAGCACCAGTCGAAAGTTTATTAATCAACGGTGAGCGCTCACAAAAGGCAGAAGTTAAGACACCCTGGTTAACATAGATACCATGAAGGTCAGTTGTTTTTCATCACTATCACAGTGGGCATCTATGCTGGATCAAAAGTGAAGGCCACTCAGTGGAAGTATTTTATTATTTTGTATAGGTCAGCGAAGCTTCACAAATTTGAATGAAAAAGGTTACCCTTTTGTATTGTCGACAATCCATTTCGTTGAATCAGAGTTTCATTTTCAAACTAAATAAATAGATTACACTTCAAGTGTGACACTGTCCAGTCTAACCATGTTTATGCTGTCATCAACGTGATGTTGTTTTTTTGTTTCGTTTAATTATTCTGATATTTTCCGGTTCTTGCTTCATGAGTTCATTCATTCTGTACTGTGAATCTGCATTGCAGCTTGCTTGAAACCTTTGTTACCGGTTTTTCGTTACTTACTACCTTTTATTCACAGTTTATTAGAACTACTGCGTATCATTCACTATTATAACAACTTTCGGTAACTATATTAATAAAATTGAACCGATAAACACTGATCTTCATCGAAACCACGCTCATTTTGGCGTACAAACTCACACCCAGTATTGAAAATCTGAATCCATAGATAAAAGTTCATGGTTCAAACTTGAGCCAACTACGTCTTCCTTATGATTTACGTAAACCTTTATCACTACACAAACCCTTCTCATTCACTTTGGCTTTATGTCTCATGAAACTTACAGTTCATCCAGTGCTAGTCCATCACTGTAGTTATCCTCTCTTGTTGCCTGTGAGCTGAATTTATTTGGTATAGAATTTCCAAATGCAAGCATCGATTTATCACACACAATTAAGTTTAATCATGTTTTTCAGACTGTTTTTACATCTTGGAAAGCAGAATGATCACTAAACTTTTCTTCCAAAGGACCAGTCTTCCTCTGATTCTATAAACCGTCTGCAAGTTCGTACTTCAAATACACGCATTAGAATCCATTAAATAATTTCCTTCCCCATAATTGATACCTGGAACTAAATCTAAACTGACCTGGGAAACCGATGCGTGTAAAACTTAAATGGTTGCAAAGTGGATGAACTTTTAGGGCTTTTGATGATGACTAAGATCATAATCTGGTGTCAAACGTTATTCACTGCATCCTGACCAAATCGTTATTTGTGCTCCCATTGTTCCCATATCTCAGATGAGTGCAAGCAATTTGGCCGTGTGCTTCGCTCCGTCACTTTTTCGGTTGATCAGTGCGAGTTTTACAAGCCAAACAAATGTTGGATTGAGCCCAAGGCGACTTCGACGAACCACAAGCGGACCGGATCCCAAAGACCTGGCTGATCAACGCACCGCACAGCTCAGCCTATCCGCCATGATCACACATGCGCCCACACTGTTTGAAGTTAGTCTCCCCCACTCTCACACACGCACACGAACACGCCTAAATTCGACTGTACAGTTTCACTGATCCGATAAGTCACTCGGTTTAAACAAGTGCTATGCATTTGTGGGTTTTTTCTATTTTTTAGTTTGCAGTGTGATCGCGCACATCTATATGGGTGACAAGATGCAACCTACGTTGCAGTGGATTCTGCTTTGAATTGCTGAAGCTCTGAATCGATCGACGATCAGTTCATAAGCATTTATCCTGAACACTCAATACTCATATTTCAACTAGGTGTTTTATTCAGTTTTATCCGTTTACCCCAGTTTGAAACTCGTTGCACCAATTATGATTCCTCAGTCTGGCATTGGTCATGGAGATATACAACACTGATAATTACCTTGTCATATAACAGTTTAAAAGCGTTCACTTTGGGGCATGAGCTTACTCTGCTCTACTATCCTGACCACTAGTAAATTTATTCGTGCTGTTTCACTGACACTACAGTGGCTATAAAAATCTCTCTCAATATAATTAAATTGCTTACAAAATCTGAAGTTTTGTTACTCAAATAGTTCGTTCTTATTTTCTATCACGGTGATTTAAAAACCACTCGTATTTCAAATATTACGCAGTGATCTTGAGACATACTGTCCAACTGCTTCGTGGCCATCAAAACTTATCAACACAGTGCGCATCCCAAGACAATAGGAAATTAAATCTGGATGCCTAGGGTAGACCCATGATTGATGAGTAGGTATCATGCTTATTACATAACCGATACGTAGTGCTCTCGATCATTCCTACCTGGTAGTTCCTTATTATTTGAGGCATAGGATTACACCATTGGAACTGTATGATAGACTTAACAGACGAGTTAAAACAAATACTTTGTATATTTTTGCAAACAACATTTAGGTCGATTTCGCTCAAATAATATTCCATCAAATACCTGAAATAATCATGATTTTATCACCAGTGGTAGATACTTAAGATTATGTTGCCGAACAAAATACTTTTAGCGGGCAACACCAAATGTTTCGTATACAGACATTAATTGGGCAATCCCATAAAATGCATGATTTTCCTGAGGCTGATGACAGCTAACAGAAAATATCGTGAAAAAATGAAAATAAGGTAACAACAACCCTCACGCATTGTTTCATCTCAATGAGCAAAAGCTTACATTCTGCATTATCTGAACGATCCCGAATGTTCACAGCGTAATACCATAAGAAACATTCAGTTATCGCTTTTCCAGTAAGATTATTAGACACCGTTTGAAAACAAAAGCTTAGTGTCGTGTTTTAGAAGTTAAAATGTTAAAACGTTTTGCAAATTTCATTCGTTATGGGGATCTGTTTAGGGAGTCTTGCCATACTTTATTTACAGAAGACAGTATGATAAGAATACTGGTCAAGACAATTTATTCCATGGACGAATAAAAGCTAGTGTTTTGCCCAATGCCGAGTTGCAGTTCCGTTGATTTTGCGCCTATGATCATGTCTACTTCAATTATCTGGCCCAAAATGCGGCTTCTTATCTCTAAACCAAGATGCCGCAACTTCAGCGTAGGATTGAGGTAAAAATAGCCTTCAAACTAGCATCTTTCTCCAAGTTTAATACATCTTACAGCCTAATGGACCGTTTCCCTTCAACCGTATACAGGTATCGACCAAACTCGTGCAACAGCCTGATTTTCATCATATTTGTCCTTCTCAACGCTTCGTTTTTCTAGCCTCATTCACGGGATTGAACATGACATTGCCCCATTTTAGAGGCAACATATCTGCTATTATACCCACTTATGTCTTTACCCATAGCCATTAACATACAAGTGTGATATTGGAAACTGAAATTTATTTCCAAAATGAGAGTGATGTAGCACGAGATTGATCAACACCTGTACTTGTCGTAACAGGTTAGCATGCATAGCCAACCATATTTTCAATAGGCGATGCTTTTAATGTTTAAGCTGGTTTACACAACCGCACTGAATATTTTCTGCAGTCACTCATTTGTGAAATCTCACCTGATTGTCCTCATTGTCCATTAGATTTCGACAACGGTGCTTCGACGTGCTCGCCTCATTCCGAACACTTTTGAGCCTCGAGACTTAGAGACAATAATCCCCGGTGGTGATTGGCCCACTTGGATTCAATCGGAAATCGGTCGGGTTTCACGAGAATGCTCCAGTACCCGATCCAAAGGATGGTCTCTATTAAGCCGAGATGCGTGGAAGACCTATCAGACCGGGTTAGTTTCTCCAGTGGTTGTGCGTGTTTGTTTACTCTCTTTTAACGGTTCGTTTTACACCCCTCGATCATATTGATCATCAATAGAAGAAAATCACCAGTGACCTGAACCAGTGCGCATATATGACGATTAAAGTGTGAGCAAGTGTGAGCAATTTAACACGATTTCTCCTCCATCCCCTACTAAAGAGTTTGATATATGATGTATTAGCCTGTAGAAAAATCACCGCAAATGAGCTTGTTCGTTACTGTTTTTCCTACGATGTGTAATGACTGTATATTCGGACAACCTTCAAACTTAGTTTTTAGGCGATTGGTTGGGGAGATTTAGTAGTAATAATTCCCATTCATTATGACAAATGCCATCAGTTCCAAAAACGGGAGATCCGAGATGGGGTACAAAAGTAACTGACAACCCATTTAAATAATAGAAGATGCTTTTTTCTAAAGTGTTTTGGTTTTATCATTCGTCGTGGCTAATACAAGCTAATTTCCCCAAGTTTTTCATATAGATCCGTTCCATCCACGGCTCTCCTGTGATGAACCGATATTCATTTTCAACACAACACGCCCCATTCACACAACTCAGATGAGCTCTTTGCTTACTTTATCCTTATCGAGGTTTTATATCAGAGAATATTGACTTGGCTTTTCCTCGCACAGCATTAAAATTGCAAACTTTCGAGCTCCACATAAAACTATTCAGGCTTATTCTAGCTTATTCTATCCGTTCCGTAGATTAAAGGTTCGGTCTGTGGCACAATTTATTGAAGTGTTATTGTCATCAAAATAACGCCCTGTCATGATTTCAAATATCGCCACCCCACCAACCCCCATTTCTGTATCTTCCCAGGCAACTTTTATGTGGTCGCAGCCTACTTCGTAAACAAAAAGGGAAATAAAAATATATATTATTATATTAAATATTTTTGTAATACTCCTCGATTTCTTCGGTTAAAAATCGGTGTTAATTCTGTATTTCTTCTGAGTTTCACAGACATTCTTGGCATAAGAATGAACTAGAATAACTTTTGTTGTTATTTTTTCTGGTTTAACTACATTTAATCCGTTAGAAGTTTGATACATTTTTTATCACTGGGTCTGATTGCGAAATATTGCCAACAACCAAATGGGCATATTCCAACACTTTTATCATGAAAACAGTTCACTCTGAGAAGTAAATTCGCACATCCCAAGCTTTGAATGTAATTCTATCAATTTAGGAAAGTTAAAACTTACAACTTTCACCTCTTACACTGCCATCTTGTCAATTTTTTACTACTTTTGTCGTTGATGCTAAACTGCCACGTTCCTGTTAATTAGTCATACTACTAATGAGTAGCACGACAATAAAATTCACATAATGAAGCACTTAATGATTGCTCCTTGATTTTGTTGATTAATTGGTGTCTAATCTATGAGTAGTGTTTATATTGCTTTACTCTCCCTCCCTATATGAAATGGATAAATGGAATCCAAAGTTTTATTTTAGTTAAATTCAGCACAAATTTGCCGTGAGCTGATTGACTTATATAATTTGTCGCTCCTGTTCGTGGTGGAGAAAGCTTACGAACTCAGTGCGAAAAGCATTCTCATTAAGTCCCGTGATTTAGGACACGCAATCCGGGCAAACATAGGTTTTCGGTGAATTTTTTCTCGAACCATTAGAATGAAATTTATAAGAAACACTTTCAGTGCGGTTTAATAAATCGGCGGTTCTGCTCTATCCTCGGTTAGGGGAGTTTTGAAGAGTGTCGGTTATCACAAACATTGTATCCCATTTCGTTTTTTGAAGAGCTTGAGCCAATTGTCGTTTCGCGCACAGTTGGGACTTCATGAGTCTAATGTCTAATCGCCTTTGTAACCCTAACGTCCGAAACAGTATTACTCTTGAGGGGTGTGGTGAGACTCGATAAATGATCGTGAATGCCAAACGCGTGTCAATCAAGTTTCCCGTCTCTATCAGATGAGCAACAATGGAACTTGACATGGCCCTGACTCCCAATATGTGTGAGCTAGCGTAGATTGTTCTTTCATACTCTGTGATAACTGCCTTGTCGTTCGACCTTCATAAGTCACAGGTGCACTTGAATTGATAGATAATCAAAGGTGAGATCAACATAGGCAGCTTACCTTTGTTGTGGAATCAGATGTTTGGTGAAGTAGAGAATACATCTTATCTCAGCGACATTAAAGGTGGATTTCACTATGGCGGATAAAACTCTACTGACCCCGACGGGGGGGGGACATATTCTTTGAACGGAATTTTTATAGAAAGATTTTTCTTCTCCACTTGTGGTGTTTTTGTTGGTTTATTCCGTTCAGTCCAATTACAATCGATAAACCTCTCAGGATAGCAATTTTCCAGTAAGGTTCTCCTCACTAGTTCAAATTCGTCTCTTAAAATACCTTCTGAACAAAGGAGGTTACTTTTTTGATAGAATGAGATAAGGCTATGAAAATTTGTGTACTATCCACTCCATGTTGCTTTTCTGTATACCTTTCTCTGGATATAGCCATCTGGATGAATATCCAAAAACGGGAAACAATCATTATTCTCTGGTTCACCTGTGAATTTAATTGACAGATTGAATTTTGACTCAATATGATCACGATTAGCGTTCTTGTCAACAACGTAAAAGACATCATCTGCACAAAGGTGATATTGTTTAAAACAATTAATTGCCTTGGATAAGGGAGTTACCTCTAACTTGGCCATGAAGATGTCGGCCGTATCAGATGCAAGTGGTGAAACCAAAGCAGCACCATAAATTTGGAGGTAGAATGTCATTCAGCAAAATGTTATACTTCGTGTGCTTTTGAATATGAGCTCATTGAGAGTTGTGACTGGGATACCCACGGATGTCACTCTTGTATTCATAAACTCGCCAAGGATATCACCTGTTTCTAGCAAGGAAACATTTGTAAAGGGAGAAACAACATACAGAGAGAAAATGAGTCGATTGTTTATGGTCACATTTTTGGTTATTTCAATAAAATGAAAAGTATCCCTAGTGGGTTCCACAAATCTATCATTTCTGTTCAATTTTTATTCTACTGAAGTTATTTACTTTGCTGTCTCTTAATGGGACTGATAGAGTAATCGTTCTGTTCCTCTATTTTCCTCTGTTTTTTTCCGTCTCTTGTGACCTCCTTCAATCTCTAGATCAGGAGCTGGTGAGTCTCTCGATGGGTTGGAAGTACATTACAGAAAACCCACAAATCCCAGTGACACCAAGTCTGGCCCACCTTTGAGAACATGGCGTTGTTCACTTCCAGTCCCCGCGTCGGATCCCAAGGAGATCATTGATCGATTTTGGCATCAACGGTAATCCCCACCTACTGATAGCTTTCGATTTATTTTATTCTACGATTGTCCCCGTCTCTTTATATCGGATAACATCAATGACGACTTAAAAACCATCCCTTTTGATATTTTCTTTAGTGACTAAATGCATTCCACTCTGCCTGATTTATGTTCCCCACAGAAGACTTGAGTATCACCACCATAAACATATTGTGTAGCCTACAAATGTAGGTAAATGAAATGCTTAATATGTTTAATTCATGTATTCGACATCAAAAAATGATTTTATATCAATAGCTCCTTAAAAAATGCATTCGATGTTTTTATATCGGTGTACCCAAGTTGGAGGTAAAGCTAGATACCAGTCATTTCAAACCGTATACTTAAACATTTTACCTACCAATAATTTCCTTGTGGTGATTATTTCACCCTTTTCCAATCCATTTTTTTTGTGCTACTTTACTCTATGTTTGTTTTTCTCGTCCTCAACCTAGCGTGTCTTGGGATCCGGAAGTCGGTTATATTCAGGTGGTGGATCAGATCTCCGACTGTGTGGATGTGTGTGTAATCACCTACTCAAGCACATTCCCGCAACCTCCATGCGAAGTGCATGCGCTTCGTGGACGGCAGTGCATGCTTGAGGACGGTGCCGCGATTCTGTTATGCGAGTCCATCTCTGCCGCATCGATGACATCCTCCGCTCTACCCTCCTCTCTCACTGGTGCTCAGTCAACCACGTCTGACAATATGTCCAATGCCATCGGACACATTTACGAGGAACACGTATACGTAAGACCGCTGGCAGACAAGAGCGGTTGTCGAGTGTTTCTCCTATCACGTGTAGATATGAAGTGAGTAAAAATTCTTCATGAAACTGAAAACTGTTTCTGGTGTTGATCAAATGTGCACTTTTTGTGATTGTACGAAGAAAATTCCATTGTAAAGCAGAGGTGCGTGTACAGAGTAACAACGGGATAGGTCTGGTGCCTCTTGGATCTAAACACTAAGGTAATCCAGGAAATCTCATCTTGAATCACACAAACGGCACACTTGGAAAGGTTAACTATCGCCCAAAACTGGATCCTTCTTAGTTGTGTGGGGCGTTTTGACTTTCTTAATAATTACTGGGATAAAATTATTCTTGATTACATAAAAGTTCATGGCCAATTTTCCACACTAAACGATAAAAATTGATATGTGGTTTTCGATCATAAGCACTGAACAGCTGTTTGTCTTTGTTCGGATCAGGCAGTAGAGCGTGCGAATTCGTATCCCATGCCTGGATTCAAATCGCCATTATTAGAACTGGTAACCGAAATTCCGGATTTTGCGTGGTTGATGATTAATAACAACAGAGAACGGACTCGTCGACTTGGAAAGTTCTACTTCGGATCAGACCATTTTATTTTCACAAACTTTTGGCACTCAGTATGATCTTCATGGACCGCACCGCTCAGCTTTCATCCCAACTGTTCACAGTCCAAGTCCTGGCAGGGACAGGAACCTAGGGAGAAACCCGTACCACAAAAAGATCAGATGGAACCTGCACAATGCCTAGTGCGTGCAATGGGCTAATCCAAGACATTTAAAACTAGTCGTGCATTCTATTACTTATCAGACTCATTTCTACAGCTTGGATTGACTGGCTTGGTGTTCAATTGTTCATCGAACTTGGCGATTCTCACTAGCAACCCCACATTGTGTGGTTCCGGTTTGGGTGCATATGCAGGTGCAAAATTTAACTTACTGAAAACACATATTGGCCTAATTTTCACGTCT